TGAGGTTCTAAAACTTAGAGGTTGTTGCTAATATATGTGCTTTTAATTACAGAATTTTCCCATAACAAACAAATATGCTAGTTACTGCTAGAATTTTCTTTATAAACAGGTATCTCAGAAACTCTGACACAAAGGTAACCTTATTCTCCCTATTTAATCTCCACTAATGATAGTTTTCAGTGTAACATGAAAAAATGATTTTTTTTTAAATACTTTCCTTGCTGAAACCTAGGGATGAAGGGTCACAAATGTAAGCGGGCTACATATTTGAAAGCTAACTGGCAAGTAAAGTCAAATACAGAAGCTTGTGCTGCTGTGCAAGCTTTGCATTTTTTTTCTGGAGCATTATTAACTCAAGAAAATATAAATGTCTCTTTAAATTTAAAAAGCTCTGAAAAGATGACAAGCTCCAGATTTTAGAGTACGTGCAACTTCAAGTCCATTCACTTACATGTTTTGTTAAAGAAAAACCCCGTCACACAGTTCATTAGGTAGATGATGAAATCATTTGTCTAGGAGTGACTTTTGTGATTATCCAGGTGAGTAGTTTGCTCTAGATTCCCTCTATTACAGAAAATGAGTCCTGCAAACAGACACAATAACAGTAGGAAAGACTGAAGGGTATGAGGGAAATCTTTCCTTTTTTACTATTATTCTGTCTTGCAGAAAAATCCAGAATTGCAGTCAGAAAGCAGGTGCTTTTCTTCCCAGCTTACAATTACATCCTTGCAACTCACGTGGAATACTTCTCAAAAAGATTAAAAAAAAAAAAAGAAAAAAAAGAAAAAAAAAAAGAAAAAAAAAAGCAGCCAAATTTATACCTGGTGTAGCCAGTCACACCATTCCTCATTTCCTTTTGTAGTGCACATCTGTGTCCAGGATCAGGTTACGGCCCTGGAAAACTTTCCCTCTGCCTGGTGAGCAACCTGAATCCCATCTCCTTCCGGAGCACTGTCTTCTCCCGGGCAGGAAAGGCAGCTGACCACAGGCAGGCAGGGAAGGAGATTCCCCTCTAGCCCAGGAAAAGCATAATGCAAAAGAGGAAAAACAGGGTTTCATTTCCAAACACGTTTCATTTTGTTTCYTGATTGATTAAAATCAGGATTGAAAGTTCATCATTTTCTGATGAAATTCTACCTTTTTTAGCATGCAAGTTTTTGCCTAGGGAAAAAAAAAAAAGTATTCCTCACAATTATCATCAGTGAAGGAGGTAAGCGCTATATTGGACTTCTGTATTTGTACCCTGGAAAAAAAAAATCCTGTATATTGGTGGTATTGTTCACATCGGAAACTGCAGCAAAGCTACGCTGATAGTCTCTGTTAACATACAATGAAATTCTGTAGCCCTTCCTGGCATATCTCTAATTATTTCAGATTAAGGGCTGGCTACCTAAATCACACAACCAATTTTGTAGAAAATTATCAGGAAAAAAAAAAAAAAAAAAAAAAACAGAAAACCAAAATCCTGGCAGAAATGTTTCAGACAACTATCTTTTTTCAAATTTGAATTTGGCACTACATTTAGATTGGATGGCCTTGTGCCCATGCACATTTCTGCAGGCACATATTAAACCACCAGACAATAATCCCAGTGAAACTCATGCTGAAAGAAGGCATTTCAGGTACATAAATTGTATTTTAGAATTTATCTCTTTGAGCATTTCTTTGCCAACTTTTTCCCTTCAAATATTACAGAGCAGCAACTTGCACAATCTTGCAGATATTTTTCCCCTTTTTTTGCATAGCTCATATACCCTTTGCAGCACAGCACAAAGGAGCTGATAAAGCCCCAGAACTTCCCCTAGTGACCTTTGCCATTAGACTCGATCACTGGGTTCACCAACCTCTTTTGAAGAAGATTTTGATCCCTAATCTTGTCTCTCCAGCTGYTATCTATCTCCCACCCCTGCCAATTCTCACTTCTACCAATTTTCCTGCTCATAGCCAGGATTTTCTCTGTTGTGATCCTAGCAGTCTCTTCAAATAACTGCTGTCCTCAGCATCACGTATCCTCACATATTCTCAGAAAAAAAGCATCTTCCTGTCTCAAAGGTACCTATATMTGCACCCCTCCATCCCTTTCCACCATCTCCTGTGTGAATTTGACTTCAAAACTGAACAAAATTTGCTCTCTTATTCAGGGTTCTTTGTAAGATTTTACGCTTCTGCACATGGAGCAACAAAAAAATTCTGTAGTCCCTATTCTCTTATTTCTGCCCACTGTATTCTTAGAAAGATGCAATGAATTCCTAAGATTGTTTTTTATAAGTAAACAAATARTACAATAGCACAGAATGTCATCCAGAGCAGTGTACCCCACTGAGGGGATAAAGAGCTGCACACAAGTCCCTGAAATGTGTCCAGCACCCTTAACTATGGGCTGTGCCTGCTGTGTTGCTTACCGTTCACGTCCAGCAGCCAGCAGAGCCCGACCTCAGCTTTCCCTGCTGTTACTTCTGAAGCCCTCTCCGCTAAACCTTACCTGCAACGTAGGGAGCATGACAGTCATTTGACCATTTCTAATCCTAGCAAGGGGGAGAAAAGGATGGGTTAACGGGRTGCCTGATGGAAAAGTAAGGACTGAGGTAAGCAATGTTAAAATCACCATCCTTTCATGGTTCTTCTTTTGGATTATAGAAAGGGATGCTTTGGATCACCTCTTCCAGCTCCTAAAGCATTATCTAGAGCCCTTCAGCATTCTAACACACTTTTCACTACATTTCCTTTTCTCTTGAACCAATTAAGAAAGATCTGGGAAAAGAAAAAAACACAAAAAGTCAAAAAAGACAAAAGACATTGTTGCGTTTTTTGTAGTTGTTCTTTGCCTAACTTAAAGCAGAGGAATCCCATGATAAAGGAAATCTAATTGCGTAAGAATTTCAAATTAAGGAAATTAAGGAATAAGGCTATTCGTGTCAAAAATTTCATCATCAAGAAAGCATTCAAAAATCCCTTTTCGTTATACCACAGTTCTGAGAAATCTGAAATGCCATCCAATAGTGACWTGGACTTTACTATGCAAATATATTTTTGCAGACTTGTACACAAAGTAGTTGTGGAACAGATCAGTAAGAAACAGTGCAAGTATTGCAGAATATTACGTCTTAATCAGTCCCCTGAACCTGTTGTCTCCTCAGAATATCTGTAAACTTCAACAAATGGAGGTGCAGAAAAGGTCTAGATGGCCTGGGGGACTGGCAATGGTCTGTGCATTCCTCCTCTTAACTATTTACAAAGTCCCTATCGCTTTGAAGTCTAAACTACTTTTCACCTTAAGGTTRTGAGTCTGAATCTTTTATAGCTCGATGCTGACTGAAAGTCACCATGATTTACTGGGCTGTACGAAAGAGCAGGTCGGTGTGTTCTGATGCATGGCGAACACGGGGATGAGCCAAAAAGCCTCCTTCCCCGAGGAGAAGGCATTAGACCGAGATTTAGGACATTGAGCAGCCATCCTTGATTCTGCCACAGGACTTGCTGTGTAACCTGGCCACAGCCCTTCTGCAGGGCGGCCCCACTGCTTCCCCAGCACCTTCCTGCTTGACATGATGCACACACTGAGACTCCTCTGTCACGGGCACAGGGGCACCCTGCCGCCGGCCGAGACGCTCAGCCCTGGCTACGCGGTTAATATTACGCAGACTCCTACAGGGCTCCACGGCCCCAGAGCGAAGAGGCACAGAGAGCAGCAACTCCCAGCCCATAAGGATGCACCCAGGGAAGGCTGTGAGGCTCGTGACAGACCAGCGCTGTCAATCAGCAGAGGATTTCCTAGGCTAGTATTCTGTTATTTTAAAATCACAACTATGTACTCAAGCTGCATGCCACCATCTAATCCATATACACATGCCTTACCCAGATAAGCCAATGATCTGGTAATGAGGCATAATTTCATAACCAGAGGAAACAAAGAGTACTTTCAAGTTAAACAGGCTCTCAGAGAAGTCAGCGGTTGAGAGGGAGTAATTGAGCTTAAAAAAATGTATTAAAAAAAAATGTATTCCACACGTTAGGCCACTTTCAACAATATGTTTCCTGATAGAAAATGACTCTTTTCTACACATTTTAAAACACAAACCTTTCTGCGTAGAAGATAAATGGTCATTTTCCCAATCGGCAGCGGTGTTCCACCCCAAACAGGTCACTCTAAGAACAGGACCGCTCCAGTTTTATCTTAGCAGAGCCAGTCGCTGGAGTTCACAACCACCAGCTTCTGGCCTCAATTCGCTTTACAGGGCTYGGCTCTCTCCTCCTTAGGCTCGCACCTGAGCTCTACCAACCACAGCTGTACTCGCCGTTTTCTGCATCGTTTGGCCCAACCAGCTCTGCCCACAGCGCAGAAAAATGCAGTGCGACCTACAGGTGGGTTACACGAACGGAACATCCAACCTGAGCTCCTCCTAAAACTGTGCTGTTGTAAGCTCCAGCGTGCAACTCTGCTGTTTTAGCCAGCACTGCTGAGGAAAACAACAACAACAAAAACCACCTCACAAATTAATCCCAGCATATTCCGACCCTTTAAGAATACTTGCTGGCACAAAAGACCCGCATTAGCCTTAACTGCCAGCGCTTTGGCGCTGAATGGCCGCCACTTCGCGGCTAGTTTGGAGGCGGGGGGAAGCGCTGGGCCCGCGAGGAGCCCCGCGCCCGGGGACCTCCAAACGCGGCGGGGACAAAGCGGGGCCGGCGGGGGCCTCATGCTGCCGCCGCATGCGGGACCCAAAGGGGCAATGCCCGGCCTAAACAGCTGCGAATGGCGCGGGCAGCCCGGGCTCTTGTTCCGCGTGTTGATTTTTGCCCAGGTGGAATGCGAAGCGAGGCTGCCGCATTGTCCGCGGCGCCGCCCGCGCTCCTCATTCCTGYATTGTTTGCTTATGGAAAGCAGGGGGAGTGGCGGCCGAGGGAGGCGCGAGCCGCAGCCTTGCCGCGGGCCAGCGCCGGCCCCGCTCGCGCRCACACACACACGCTCACACGCGCCCGTGCCGCTCGCGCACGCCGAYATGCGGCTCCAGCGGCTCCTCCGCGCCGCGCTGCTGCTCTGCGTGACCCTGCTGCTGGCCGCCGCGCAGAGGCCAGGTAGGCACCGCCGCCGGGGCTCGCCCGCTTCGGCCTGCGCGAAGCTGCGAGGCTGGGAGCGGGCAGGAGCGGGGAGCCCGCGGCGCCCGTTAACGGTCCGCGGCTGGGAGCGGGGAGCCCGCGGCGCCCGTTAACCGTCCGCTGCGCAGAGAGCGGGAGCGGGGAGCCCGTTAACGGTCCGCGGCGTGGGGGGCGGGAGCGGGGAGTCCGCGGTGCCCGTTAACGGTCCGCGGCGCGGGGAGCGAAAACGGGCACCCCGCGGCGCCCGTTAACGGTCCGCGGCGCGAGGGGTGGGAGCGGGGAGACCGCGGCACCCGT